TTTGATTAATTGAAAAAAATAAAAAAATTGAATTTCGTGAATTATATTTATTATATGGGTTATATTTATTCCAAATATAAAAAATAAAAATTTTCTATTACGGATATAATATAATATAATATCGATTATTTGAAATTTGATTGTTTAAATGATTAATTATCTGAACACAGCATGAATATAATGTACATTTAAACTAGCATATCTAATAATATTTGCATTCTACAAATTTTATTACATTCTAGAAATAAGACAGTATTTAAAAATGATTGACTTAATTTTTATTTAATTCATTTTTTTCATCAATTTCCTTCATATATTCCCTTATATAATAAATATCCATTTTAATTTTTATTTCTTTCATAACCTATTGATAAATTTTTTTTGATCAATTATCCAAAAAATTGTTTAATTGTTTATGGATTTATCTTTCAACTAATTCGAATAACCAAAATTTTACTATATAATATAATAACATATTTTTATTTTTCTCTTTTTTTTTTTTTTTTTGCTTTTCAAATTAAACAGAAATATTTTAGCTAGAATAAAAAGTGTATTGTTAATTTATTGTAATTCATTTCTAGTAATGTAATCGAGGTTTGCTAGATATTTAATTTTCAAAAATCTCTAACTATTATAATATAATAATAATAATAATCAAAAATAAAATTCTGAAAAGATAAAAATAAATTCAAAATTAATACATATAATAATACATATAATACAACTTAATACATATAATACATTAATACATTAATATATATAATAAAACTTGTGATAAATAGCTTTTAAAATTTTATGATATTTCATATAAACCAAAAATTTTTATTATAGTATATTTCATATTTTATATACATTTTAAACATTTCATTTATAAAATTTATTATTTTCTTTTTTTTTATCTATATAAATTATAAGATTTGAAAGTCAAAATGTAAAACTAGGAATTATATTTAGAAAATTGATATTAGAAATTATATTATATTAAAAATTATATTAAACATGATGAAGTAATTCGTTTACTAAATTTTGAAATAAAATAATATTCTATAATCTATTTAATGATATAATTTGATAATATCTAATATTTCTAATATTTTCTAATATTTTTTTTGATGAAGTCTAATAATTAACATATAATAATAATATAATAATTAAAATAAAATAAATAATAATAATAACAATAATAATAACAATAATAATAACAATAATAATAACAATAATAATAATAATAATAATATTTGATTTTCTTAATTACAATTAATAATTTTGTTAGACATTTCTAAAACAATATTTTAAAAATTTTTAAAAAGTTAATTCGGTACATACATTTATATATTTTTATGTTTATATAATTAATATTTACGATTTATTTATTGTACAATTATAATATAATAATTATCCATTAATAAAAATAATCTGACAAAATAATAATTTATCTTAATTTTAATATCAATTTAATTACCATTTACATTAATTCAATTCTTATTTATTTTAATCATATCTTTATTTAATTATTATTTTCCATAGAATCATAAATTCATTTAATCCTATTTAAACAGAAAATCAATTAAATTCATCATAGATGCATATATATTTTCTTATCTCTCGTTTAATTGAATTTATAATTTCTTAATTTATCATCATTTTTATTATAATTACTCATTCAATTAATTCAAATAAAATGAATTTCATCGAATCTACATCTTATATCATCTCAACCCTTATACATATCGCGCTCATTTTAACTCCCCATTCATTTCAACGAAATCCATTTGTTCTTGACTCATTACTATTTCCATTGCATTATTAAATCCATTGGAAATGTATGTCAGAATTACATGAATTCTACTCCTATTCATTTTAACTTTTAATTCATTATTACCTCTATTATTAAATCTATTGGAAATGTATGTTCAAGTTACATCAATTCTATTTCACTTCACATTAACTTTTAATACATTATTACTTCCATCAAAATTCCATTCAAATTCATTCTACACATGATATTCGTTTTATTTGACTAAGTAGAAAATTAATTACATCAAATTTTAAAATTTAGATAAATCTTAATTTTTAATTCATCAAATATTCTACATTAAAATTGTAAAAATTTTAATAATATATGAGAAAGCAAAATAATTAAATTAAAAATTAGTTATCCAATTTATTGCAAATTTATAGTGCAACAATTCTCATGATATATTCAACCTTTATTCATTTATTTTTAATTTTTAACTTTTAATAATTACTCATATCTACTTAAATTTAATTTAAAGAACAAATCATATATTATAAAATCCAAATGAATTTATATTAACTTTCTATTTATATTGATTTATCCACTTATTATTTTATTATTATCCACTTATTTATTTTAGTTAAATTTTTAATTCTTGACTTATAGTTGATTTTAATAATAAAAAAATTTTACAAAAAATAAATTACAAACTTATTTTAAATTTCTCAATAAAATTTCAGTTTTTATATTTTCTCTATATATTTCATCTGAATTTTTATTAAATCATTTTATAATTTTAAATTAGAATTGAATATTTTTTATTTGAATAAAAATAAGATATAAAAGAAACAAATAATTATTTCAAATAACATAAAAAAAAATAAATTTGATTGAGATAGAAATATATATAAATAAATTAAATAAATAAATTAAATTAAATCTAAAATTTTATAATGATAGAAAATAATTCATTTTGTTTATTAAAATTGAAATTGATTTATATAAATAATAATAATTGAAAATAATATGTTATCATATATAAAATAATATCTATATTATCTATATAATATATCATTATAGTTAGTTCGAAATTATTATACTTTTTCTTGAATTCATTTGAATGTTAAAATTACTTAGAATTACTTAAAATTAATATTATTAATTTTATTATCTATATAATCTATATAATTAATAATTGTTGCGCCTCTGAAACGAAACATTTCATTTTATCTTTCATTTTGATAAAATTTGCAAAATTAATTTCTAAAAAATATTTAAATAATTATCAATTAAAATAACAAATATGAAAATAATTTATCTCTCAATACTATTATTCTATAAAATAATATTATTCAATATAAAATAATATAGCAAGCAAAAAGTAAATATGAAAATTTCATTTTTTGAGTAATATTATTCGAATAAAAATTTATTTCAATCCTGCCTAAAACGAGCACGTCCATAAAAATCGTACACCCGTTTAATTCCAACCGAACCTGGTAATCAATTTCGGAACGGGATGCGAAAAAGTGGAAAACTATCCAAACAGGTGGAAAATGAATTTTTCCCCTCGCCAATTGTATCCGGAACCGTGGTGCATCGCGGGCTGCCCCGTAATTACGCCGGTGGATTTCGACCGTGGAATTTATTCGTCGTTTATCGTCGGTCACCCGGTATATTAAACAGACGATCGTCTCGTTTTTCACCGAGGTGACGTTCGCGTCGCTCGACGATGATCTCGTCGACGATAACTTGCACAATCAAAATCCCGATTTCAACCGTATCACCCTTTCTCAGGGACAAAAATCGTTTACGAGCGAACATTGCCGTTCCTGTTGCGTTTTCGACATTTTTTGTTTCTTTCTTTCTTTTTCTTCTCTCTCTCTCTCTCTCTCTCTCTCTCTCTCTCTCTCTCTCTCTCTCTCTCTCTCTCTCTCTCTCTTTCTCTCTATTCTGGATATTAGTTGAAAAACATTAAATGCGTTTATAAAAGATCCATGCATGGAGAATAATTATTTTCGATGTGAAAAATTGTGGATTTTGGTAGATTTGGAAGAATTATTGTTGAGGGAAATTTAAACGATTGTCAGACAATGGTTATCTTGGGGAATTTATTTAGGATAAAGTGGATAAAGTAAGAACATTCCGACAGAATTAATGGGAACAACTAACAGTTTTGTATTTCGATAAGAAGGAGATGTTGGTTTTCTTATTAAGAGATAAGAATTTTTAGTCTTTAATGTTTTCTTTTAGATATTAGATTGGTGAAAATTATGTTTACATACAATTCCATAAATATTCGGATAATATTATAATTTAAAAGACAAATTATATATTCGGAAATGTGTCGTTATGTTATCAAATTAAAAATAATAAGTTTTTTTTTACTTAAATGCTTTTAAAATGAATTATACATCAAAAAATAATATTAAAGAAAAATGATAAAATTGTTTAATAAAAATAGTTTTTAATATATCAAATTATAAAAAATTGTTATTATAAATCATTTAGAGTATATATAAAAATTTAAATCTTTTTTATTTTTCTTGAATATTTAAACAATTTATATCAAGACTTATATATAATTTATAAAAATTTATACATATAATATAATATACTTTAATGCATTAATAAAATAATTTTATTACTTGATGTATTTATGTATTTATGTATAGATATAATATAGGCATAAGAATCATAAAAAACCATACCATTTTTATAATATTTTTATAATATTTTTTGGAAATAACTACATTTATATTCTATTTATTTCTTAACTTTTATAAAAAATTTTTATAAAAAATAAATTGCAATCTTTTATATATTTTCATTTTATCATCAAATATTTTATCATTCTTACATTAATAAATATTTCGAAAAATTAAAATAATTGAACATATTTTTCTAATTATTAAAAAAATATAAATTTACATATTTAATAGAAAAAGAATTCTAGTTCAGCTTCGATTATTAAATATATATTTTATATGTTAAATATAATGTATTATATAATTAAAAATATTTTAAGTTAGATTAAATTTAATAATAATTAAATTATCTAAGTTAAAATTACTTTAAATAAAAAAAATTTTAATTATTATAATTTGTTTTTTATCAATATCACAATTCGAGTAAAATTATCAATTGAAAATAACATGATAATAAAAACTTGTTTAGTACTAACTAAAAATGTAGCCTTATGTAATTTCTTATACTCTCTTTAAAGCTACATGACTATCTTGTTTTCTTTTTTTGTTTTCAGCTTTCTGTAAGTTGCGATTTATGTTAAATTCTCACTCTCGTCACTTGAAAACTCACTCTCTCACGTTGAAGATCTTCAGCTGAAGATAATGAACTTTGCTCTGAACGGATGGAGTTCTTTCGGAGTTCAAATGCTTTGCTAAATACCAAAATGCCATAAATTAATTATCGTATCGCTTTAAGATATGTGATTAAAAAGCTTTCGATTGAAATCTTTTCTATTTTGAAACATTAAAAGAAAGGATTCGGATAAATTCTACATGAAGAAAAGATAAAATATGTTATACAACATACAGTATTAAACTTGAAACTAAATTAAAATAACCATTCCATCATTTAGAAGATTAATACTAAATAATAGTTTATATTTAATGCATTTAGAAATCTTAGAAAATTTAGGAATGAATTTCTATTTTTGATTCCGAATTTTGCTGTCTTTCATTGCTTAAATAGTTTTAAGCATAATAATATATAAAATATAACAAATATATATATATACAAATAGATATATATATATATATATAATGTTATAAATACTTAAAAATCTTACTTAAATATTCTATTTATTAGAAAAATATAGTATTTTTTTACATTTCATAGTACCTTACTCCAATTTCCAGTCAATTATATTTTCAGATTAATTTTTTTATATTAAATTTTACTAGAAATATTTTAATATTGACTAGTCTTAGATATATTTTAGAATGTATAAATAAATTATTTATTAGATTCATAAAATTATTATTATAATAGATATAAACTTCTACAAATGCAATAAACATTCTTTAAATTATAATATATATTCTTTAAATTATTATTATTATAACAGATATAAAGTTTTACAAACACAATAAATTCTTTAAATTATAATATATAAAGTATATTTTTTCGTATATACAATAATTCAGTTTAGAAATACGATGATGGATCACAAACTAAAGTTCCCTATTTTCTTTTATTTATAAAGAAACCTTTATTTATAAAATTTTACATATTTTTATATGTATATAGAGAATCAAGTTTTGGGATAAATTAGAAAAAATCGGATAAAATCGAGATTTCAATATTGCCAAAAGCATGCAAATCAACTTCGGCAATAATCGAATACGATTGGTTTGTGCAATTATTAAAGATGATAGCTCGATAGTATTTGATTCCTTGAAATTATACTGAAACTTTTAGAATTCCATCTTACTCGAATATTTCTAATCTATCTCGAATGTACATGTTCCAATAACATTATCCATTAATTTCTATTACCATAGAATTTTTGATTCAAACTTTTTCAAATCTTTTCTTTCGTTATTATTCGTTTACCAAAAACTTAAATGAATTTAAATTACAAATATAAGAGCAAATTTCAAAAGAAATTAGATCAACTTATTTTCGGAAAATATTTTATGCAGAAATATTATTAAAATTATTCTTTATGTAATTAATTATTGAGGGAAATTTAGTTTTTTGATCATTCTTTGTATATAAATCGTAACGAAAGTATAAAAATAAATTTATATCAAGAACATAAGTTTATTGAATATAAATCCGTTAAAATAAAGCATATAAAACATTTTAAATCATCTGACAATAACAAACCATTGAAAATATTAAAGAAAAAAGGAATCGTCGAAAGCAAGAGATCAGAAGGAAATACGTACATATACATGCGCTTAAGTACATACATACATACATATCAAGAGCAAATCGAGTTCTCCAGATGTTCTCGAGACGAGAACATTCTCGCCGTCTGTCTCGAGAAAACAAGAAAGAGACGGAGCGAACGAATAATTTAAGCGAAGAGAAAGAGAGAGAGAAAGAAAGAGAGAGAGAGAGAGAGAGAGAGAGAGAGAGACGCGTGTAAAAGTGAAACGGAAGCAGAAAGAGAAAGAGGATACTGGAAGGAAGGAGAATATGCACCGTTTGCCAGGTATATACGCTTACGTCCCGCCTTGTTGTCATTAATTAATCTCACGTGATAAATGTTAAGTCGTCTGCCAACTTCGAAGATGTTAACGCGATCCCGCGCGATGGCCCAGCTGCGTGCCACGATTGAATCAGCAACGGGCGAATACTGAAACACCGGTGGCAGATGTTGCTGCATAAATTTCTGTTAATCCTTCGTGGCAACGACCGGAATCGTTTGTCCCATAGCGCCCGCGAAAGATCGATCATTGTAGCACGTAGGTACGCCGATCAATGAAGATTAGTTCGATAAATTTTTTTCAACTTATTTTTTTTTTTTTTTTGCAAACAGGAGCAATTTTCAATACTTCTCACGTTTTATTATTATTATATAATGATAAAATATTTTTGAAAAATATTTTTAATATTTATCTCATGATAATATTATTTTCTCGATAGATGTTTTATTTTTTGATGATAACTTCTTAAAATTTCTTATCAAAAAATAATAAATTAATATACTCTTAAATATTCAATATTTAAATACTCTAATCATTCAAAATTTATTTCAATAATAATTAATGAGCTTCATTTTACATACTTTAGATACATCTTTTTTAATTCTGGAAAGTTCTTATCTCTGTCATTGAATTGCTTCCAAACAAAAGGACTGGGATTTAAACTATCTTCTTAAGATCTAAATAATCTTCTCTATTATTTCTTTTCTTTTTAAATTTGTTCTCCAACGATTTAAAATTTTTTTCATTTTTATTCATCTATACATATAATAGATATATCCAGATAACTATCACAAAATTGAGATTAAAATACATCAGTTATCTGAGAAATTAAGTGTTTTGAATTATCGATAATTTCTTTCTCATTTTCTTATAAATGAGATAGAAAAAAGTGTTCATATTTTGTATGATATGTATTTTAAGTTTTTAACAAATATGTGTCTCAAAAATTTAAATTGCATTTTCAAGAATTGATGATAAAAATTTCTTCAACAAATAAATAAGTAGAATATGATTACTGTAAGTGTAAATTATTCCATTTCCAAATATTAAAAATATAACGCAAAAATCACAATAATCTTTCCATCGATACTTTCACAATTTTCAAACTAATTCTTGTATTTTCTCGAGCAAGAATTTTCGTTAGATTGAAAAGCAGAAGTGATCATCACAAGGAAATAGAATTTCACAGTCTTCAAAATTGTGTCCTTCTTCGTTGAGACAAAAGAGTTAAAAGAGTTTCAAAACTCATTATCGCAAATCGGCCTGAATCGAAAGAAAATATAGATGAAGAGAATTTTAAGAAGGAAAAAGAAGAAAAACAATGAAGAAAGAAAGTAAGAGAACAGTTACCTGTGACTAGCGATAGGATCAAATTTAATAGTAAATCTAAATCTAAATTAAATCTAATGCTAAAGTTGATTCACTTCGAATACTAACTTATTTAATACATACTTCAAAATATTAAAATATATAATTGGTTTTTATTATTATTATTATACTAATATGAGCCCATTTATTCTTCTATCAAGATGTATAAAGATTTGCATTTAATTTAAAAATGCTGATTTAAAAATCTAATTAAAATGCTAATTTAAAAATCTACGTTTCTATGAATCTAAATTTATGTATTATATAAATAATTTTTTGAAAATTACTTATAACTTAATCTTTATATATATTTTAAAATGTATAAATAAGAAACGAAATAATCTATTGTTTTCTCATTTTTTTTTTATTTACATATTCTCTCATTTTTCTATTTACATATTCTTATATTTTTCTAAAACCATATAAATTAAACAAGACTTTTTTTCATTTTCAAAATTTAATTCCTTAATTTATCAAATTTCATTAAATTTCAAGAAATGTATTTTTACCAATTATTCAATCTTTTTCTAATCTAATCTAATTTATTCGTGATATAATTGGTCCAATCGCTACTCAAGCCAACTTAACCTTATTTTTTCCAACCTAATCTAGCTCTTTTATGAGTTACGTATGTTCTCGATGGACTTTTCTCGTAGTCGGCGTCATGAAAATAAATTGAATCACGCAAAAAATAGAAATACAAACACATCCACGCCTACCGATGGCCGTAATTCCAAGCTACTTTCCCAGGTTGCAATTGCAGAGTGTGGTGGGGGCGGAAAGAGCCGAGTTAAAGAGGGGAGAGGTCTTCCAACTTGGACATCCCGAAGTATTATCTATCTCGGAAGTTCGTTCCCGAGGTTGCGGCTGGCTCCGTTGACGATGACGAAAACGACGAGAACGGTCACGCTAATCGCAGCTGGCTGCAGATTGGCTTTTAGCACAGAGTTCGACCAACTTGTATCGCCAGGAAATCGCGGGCGCACCCCTCCGCTCAAATTTACAGGGCGATTCCCTCGACCGCCCCCTTCGTCGTGAGGGATGGTATTTGCGGCCACGGGGAAAGCATTGATGGGAGGGGTTACGATCAGGTCGACGTGGTCGCTTGCGGTGATTTAAATTGCTCTAGGCGAGGGCCTCTGTGCACTCTGATTTCTGGCTTCTTTTTAGAAATTGTTCTTTAGAAGTTTGGTGGTTGATGAGATCCTTGATGGTATACACCGGTTGTAAGTGGTCTTCTTCATTGTTTTAGTTTTATATATTTTTCTTTCAGAGATGAGTCGAGATTGGATTATTAAATTGAATTGAGATTGAAATCATATGAGATCTTAACATTTTTTTTAAATTCAAAATGTTTATTTTTTCTTTTTTTTTTTTTAAGGAAAAAGACTGTATTCTCCTTACGTTTATCATAATGATCTTAAAAAAATTTGATTGATGGTATTTTTGAATTCGATTTTTTACAATATTTTATATATATATATAGTAATAATAGTGGATTATGAAAAATTAATTAATTATTTATTTTATAATTTTTAAATATGATATTATACTAAAATAATATGAATCTAAGCAATTATTATAAGTTTAAAATCTAAATACAAATTTTTTACTTTTAGTTGATTTTATTTAATAGATTACATAGAATCAGTGATATATAATTCTAATCAATGAAATTATAGTAATGTATTATAGTATCAATGTATTACGTTTTATAATA